GCACTGTGGGTAATGTGGTCGTGGAAAGTGGACCGCGGTACTCTATCTGTTCTTATGAACCCACTGATGCGAGAGCTACTTCAAATTCGTCTGAACAGTGTGTTTGAACGGATGGCGCATGTGCTCGCAGATTTCTACAATGTCGGCCTCTGGAATGATCAGAGTGACATTAGTCAGTATTCCATTTGACCCGAGTCAATATGATTGGCAATCACCCGGATGTCAGGTTAGTTCTTGCGCGTAAGCCGATTGAGCTCATAGCTTTTGAAGGGTTGATCGGCGCACATATCCATAGGGATTCGTATCCTCAAATAACGAAGACAAACCACTATGACACTGCTGCATCTTACGTTGTTTAATAACGGTACACTGAGTGACGGTGGCTGGACAACTGTCGTTTGTTGAGTGAGGATTCTTCGCGGTAGCTCTAAAGTTAGACAGTCTTGCGCACGCCCGGTAGAGCACTAAAGGACCATTGCGTCCTACTGATTAGAGTAAATTACTGCTGGTATTCGCTGCGTGCAATGCCTCTTAGAGCAAAATGGCAGTATTCATGGAACAATGACCTTGGAAAGCCAAAACTGTGTCATGGATATTAAATTCTTTGATGCAATCGCATTTACCCCTACTCAACAACTTTCTGACGATTGCAGTAGACACGGGATACAACCTGATGATATGCTCTAATCGCGGTATGAGTCTCATGGAGCTCGTGAAGGTACGGCACAAAACTGAGAACTGTGGAGCTCCTCGACTGAGTAGCCGGTATAATGATGAACTGGTTCATCTATTTCGTCAAAGAATAGTAAGAAAGTTCGGTACTATATAGTTGGAAGCCGAAATCATCGTGCTCAACAGTGAAACGAGTAAGAGATGAAAATATTTGGACTCCCATTGTAAAGGTGAAGTCTCATATGTTTCGATTTTTCCTTTCTTGCAAATGCAAATGAAGGCGGGATCATGATCTTCAGCCGTTAGGGATTACCTCTCTTGCATACCGATACTATTCGTTCAGGTTAGCACTCTGACACATGAATGAACGCAAATGGTTTATATGCTTCATCTGATAACAATGCAGAAGTGCAGATCTTTAGAATGCTGACAACAAGCTACTGCCAATACAAGAAATCATGGTAGCTGTATGATGTGATACCAAGATAAGTTCAGATTTTTGTAATTGTTCCATTGGTTTAAGGGAGCACAACAACAACTCAGACTAAGTGGATGCACAAAACGCCCACGTACTTACTGACTTCCAGCATGGACTCGTGGTGAACAAGCTATGTGCTCCGAGTATAAGCAACGAGCGCCTGCACAGTACGTTTGTAACATGTGGTATGATGTTGCATGAACATCCCTATCTTGTAGTCAGTAATCGGTTATATCCATATATCAACGTCATTCATGCCTCAGGGACTTAAGTTGATGCCTCGCAAGGGAATACGTTGTTGCTACCCAAAAGACAGTTCTTATCTATTAGGTTGAGCTCTACTAACACTCGAATGCACGCAATGTATTCCTGTTTTACTGCTCCCGCGCTACGTCTATCTCTGCTTATATTCGTCGACTGAGTTAATGCGCTGACGTCCCACTGTTGTTCCATTGTATAGAGTTCGCTGTACTCAATTCCATTTATCTTCTAATAAGGATGCTCGATTGCGTCCGTTGGCCAGGATTGATAGTTACTAACCTTACAAATGTGTGACACTGATTCGCACGCGAGTGTGAAATTTTTCTTCATGGAATATTTTGTGTGTGAGTCGGTTTCTGTTTTCGATTTTCCGGTGCATTTATTTGCTAAGTGCTTCACTTTATCGATTTATCGCATTCCGTTTATGCTTGATCGTTATGCATAACGCATGTAGCGCGAGTCGTTTTCCGACGTAAGCATGACAACGTTGCCTGTTCGGGATTCCATAGAACACAGCTCAGATATCGACTTGCTATCTTCAAGATCGAACTGGAAAATAGACGCACTCAGACGGACTGATCGAGGCACAATCAGCTCACCCTAAGCCTTCTCTTATCGGTTGTGACGCCGGTATAGGATATTTTACTTTGCCAAAGTATGAAACTATGAACAGGCGATTTCTAATAAATTGTCACGATGCTGTCTCTTAAGGGCCATGATTAGAATATGTTGAAGGCTGTTCAGTCCCGACTCCCTGAGCCTGAACGACTACGCTCGGTCGTCGAAGACCTCGACACCATCCAGAGTGAATTATTCACACAATACGGGCAAGTGTGCGCGAAAGTTAGAGAAAAGAAATACCGTAAGACCGGATAACTTTGGTCCAGCTTTTTGTCTTCGAATGTAAAACACATGTAGTGCTTTTGATAATATTAATAAGTGATCTGTTCATGGGCTGTACTGTTATAATGCTATAGAAAATAATGACCGATGCAGTTCTGAACCCATAAGTCAGTGGTTTTAAAATATTTACTATGGCCATAGTTCCCCTTTAACGAGAATACTTTGGCCATGATGGTAACACATACACAGAACCAATGTTAAATAACACAAGGGTAAGATAGACCATAGTTTATGTGTAAAAATATTATGAAAACGCATCTATAACCCTAATAAATACGTAAGCAAATGTTACAAAAATGCTTTTTCGAGTTCGACAGGCCTACTTTGGTGATGGAACACACACGTCATCAGAATCAGAAAAGATTTCTAGTCGGTTGTCACTGACATCACCGACGGAGGAGAAGTAATCGACTTCTAGATAAACTTTGACTGTCGAGTTACTTTTTGGTTCAGCAAGAAGCTCGATTCCGGTAACAACTTTAGTTAGACCCAAGACACTTTTTCCAGGATGGAGGTTCCGAGCTTTTTTGTGTTGTGGCAAAAGGTACTTCTTTCAGCTGTTGCTTGAATACATGAAAAACGGAGGTGCTGATGGCATTTGCATATTCTTCATTGTCCTCTGGAATTCTGCTCAGGACAGGCTGCGGAATTATTGGGTACATGCCAGTTTTCCTAAAATCAGACGTGCAAGTTTTCTGCAACACCTTCGCCCATAGTACCCAGAATTTGCTTGAGCGGCAATCGGAAGGCTATACTACTAGATGGTTTGGACCATATTGCCGCAGGAGCTTTTATTTTTTGTTAGCATGGCCCTCAACTGGGTCTTCATAGGCCGAAAGAATCCTACATCTGTAGGTTGATAGAGGTGGGGGGATTTAGGTGGGAGGCAACAAACCGCAATGTTGGAGAGTCAATTTGGACTACAGATTGTGTGATTGGATTGCGACGCGCAATCTCAAAGTGGACGGCGATTTACTTTGAAGTGAACCTTGGTCACTGTGATCACTGGGACCGTAGCCTAAACAGTAGTGTTGTTTTCATCGCAGTGAGACAGTATCAAGTGAAAATATGAACTGAGATTGTCACCCAAAATGACACAACGGCTAGTTTTTCTGTGACAGAAAGGTAATGCCGCTTGCTAAGACAAGTCAAAAGTAGGCGTTGTCAAACAAGCCTGACCTTGACCTGCTATATCGCGTGCCGTCCAAGTGTCCCAAAGGTTTTCGGCTTTGCACATTACATATGGCAGCACTAACATACCATCAGATGTGTCAGCAAATATCAGGCTAATTTCTGCCATTGATGAGTTCATAATCCCCTCATGATATTCGATGCTACTTTCAAAGATTATTTGGCCAACTGACCAAAGTTACGCCAAAATGACAAAGCTTATTGGCGTAACATTGGTCACCAAGACAGTTACAGAAGGCATGATAAATGTGCTTGGATAGCATCGAAGATGTTTACTAACACTTATACACAAAGCGACAACAGGGATGGTTGTAATTACACTTCGTAGAAACATGATTCACAGATGAAAGTATACCGTATGGTAAACACGTCATTACACCCCCATCCTTGACAAGAAGGATATCCAAGACTGACTATTCAAACTTAGCACAAAATGATTTCAAATTAAGGAAAAATGAAGTTGCAACACAAAACCAATTTAACCACGCACAATGAGAGAAATAAGTGTAATCTGAGTTTTATATTTTTTCATGTTGACCCAAAGTTACCCCAATTTACGGTACTCAAAGTAGTCAAAGAGCCTGCAACCAACCCATCCTGAATCAAAATTTCCATCATACGCGGGAAGGTATGTTCATAATCTATCGAATCTACAGCTAAATCAATTGCAAATAAAGGCATTGTCCCTGGGACCTAAATTCCGTTTATCGCAACCTGTTAGTGGATACGTTTGTCGTACTGCTACTTTGCTTCACCTGTGAGGCTGGGACCGTTTGTCTGCTCAGCCACGCGCCCAGCCAACCATAGGAAATACGAAAGACCAAGATTCGGTAGACAGGGTATATTCTACAGGATAGGTAAACTGCATTTATGGATGAAAAAAACATATTAAGTTTAGAAGCCCAGGACACCCTTTCTTCGGATTCTGGTTCTCAGTCAAGGTGAGTGAATCAGGTCCCATGGGTCTACCATATTTGACAGAATGGTTCGCCTCCTTTGAAATGAGCTTGTATTTGTTGGCCAATCAATTCGCACCCGATGCCCATATTTGACGGAACGGCCGAAGGTCGTTCCATACCCGTGCTGATGACCTTCGCATGCGGCAGGCAGCTTACGTGCTCCGTGGCAAGCCAGCGCGCAACCTCGTATCTGGACATTGGCTCCGCTTACCTCTCTAATAAGGTTCGGATCGAAACCCAGTTCCAGAACTTGATGTATCAGTTAGCCGAACTGACGCCAAGATCCTCTCTTGCAAGTGACACCTACGAAAACTAACATGGTGCATCTTGCACAACAATGCATAGTCTGTAAAGCAAAAGCTGCGAATGTGCTGTCCAAGAAACATCAAGAGGCCGTCAAAGAAATAAGATACAATCCCGAGTTGATAGTTTCCAGACCAGATAAAGGACCTGAATGGGTAGTTATGGATAAATAGAAGTATATCTCCAAACTTCACGCTATCTTAAAAAGGCCCCAACGCATTCATCCGCTATACAGATGAAAAAGGTAGAACACCACAGGATGAGGTTAAAATTACGAAGTTGTTGAAGGAGTTAAAGTAAAGGAAGTTAATAAGTGACGCCCTACTTGATCGCTTAACTCCAGTCGGCTCGCATCCACTCCGCCTGTATGGACTACGAAAAGTGCACAAACCATATGTTCCGCTGCGCCCAACTATTGAACATATCTGGCTTCGTATTCCACGCCGTTGCAAAGTGGCTTGTAGAAGTGTTGAAGCCTGTGCGTAAAGCTTTGGCAACTTACTCAGTTGAAGACTTTTGAATTTGTCAAACATGTGGAAAACGTGAACGTCCGTGGCAAAGTGATGCTTTCTTTTGACGTGAAAACCCTATTAACTAACATCCCCTTGATTGAAACCGTCAATTTCCTTAGTGAATATATATCGTAAAAGAACGTGGATGTTAGTATTCCTGGGTACACTGAAGGAACTAATATTGCGTTTCACTTGGATAGACAGTACTTATTTGATGAAACCTATTACAGGCAGATTGACGGCGTCGCAATGGGCTTTCTCCCGGGGCCAATTCTTGCTAAAATCTTCCAGTCTAAAGTTGAACGTGGGCCTCATCAGCCTGTTATCTCCGCACTTGATTCATATTGGTGATACCTGGACGACACATTTATTGGCTGTGATTCAAGTGTTGATGCAGCCGGTCTGCATGCTGTTCAACAATGCACATCCATCGTTGAACTTCACCAGCGAAAATGAAAGCGATGGCTTTGCTGGACGTTTTGCTAAAGAGACGGGAGGATGGTTCAGTTGAGTGAAGGAGTTTCCGGAAAGCTATTTGGGCAGGCCAATACACGCACCTTCTAAGTTTCGTACCTATGAAATACAAAAGGAACTTAGTTCGTTGCCTGTATCATCGTACCGTCAAAATCTGTAGCTTGGAGATACTATAAGAAGAGAAGGATTGCATCCTTGCAATGTTGCAAGAGAATGGTTACTCCATTCCGTTCATCAGAATGCATGCCACTATCTGTATGAGCCCGAAAACTGTCATCATTGTTCTTAAAAAGGATGTCTTTCTCGCCGTGCTGTTTAAAAGGGGATGTCGCCTTCGATTTACTCAACAGATGACTCTCGGTTGCAGTAGGCAAAGCCTATCCAGACTACCGAGAACCATCACTTCGATCTGGAGAACGTTGAAATAGTTGGAAGAGCAAGAAACCCCAAAGCGTGTGAATTCCTCAAGGCCTGGAATTCTGGCCGGAGCTCAATCAACAAACACCTAGAGCTGGAGAGTATCTATTAAGCTCTGAAGGTTAAGCCAGCATTAGGCACCAGATCGACAAGGAGAAGAGGTGCCCACACGACCAACTCACGTGAACAGATCGAAGGCTGACATTCGAAGCAGGCAACAATCAATAGTCACTCGGATCTGACATTGGTTTGCGAGACCGCGAATCAGGACTGAATAGCCGCACTGAAGATGTTGCCTAGTTTGGCAACGAAACGTCTGCAACCGAAATGCCCGGCTCGGAGAACAGGACAATCCTCTCAAAGACTACCCCGTTTATCACCCAACGCCTTAAAGACAGACTCTCAGCTCAGTCCAAGTCGTTTATCCTATACCAATTCAATTGCACCTGTGGTACAAGGTACTCTGGACATACGACCAGGCGTCTGTCAAAACGGATTACTGCCCATTGCCCGGGGTCGCTAAGAAGGGGGCGTAGTCGGGAGGATTTAACAGTGCCATCATGGAGCACTTGTTCCAAAGTGGACACGAAATCTGACCAACCGACTCATTCAAAGTCTTCTACACTGTGCCCAACTGGTACTCCAAAATGGTAAGAAAACGCCTCCTGAGGACGACTGAGGCTACTGTCATAAGAGTGATGCAGCCGCAGTTGTGCAAACAACAAATCTTTGTGCAAGCTCTTTGCCTGCCATGGCCAAGCACCAACTCCTCAGCATCGGACAACGGCGGCGGCAAAGTGCGATCTTCTTCGCACCATCGGCAGCTATAACAACTGGTTTCAGTTGTTCGAGAGGAATATCGATCGAATGTGGCAGCTTCGTTCAAATGCTCCCCTGTCACCCATTCTCAGCCCGGTCTTCAGTGGCACACTGCGTTGTTTTTTTGCATTCTTATAACTGTAAAGAGATCTCTTCGTAACCTTGATTTAGTAAGTCACAGCACAGCGAACGGGCTATATCAAAACATCCAAATGGTCTCGGGATAGGAAATCGCAATCCGTCGACGTTGTTCCAGGAAATTCAACGCGTTGCTGGTCCCTTATTCCGAGATAAGAGAGCTATGGTTTGCACGCCTACAAGAACCGTGACCGTTGTTGCTGCCCCTGATTCTAGATAAGCCCTCGATTTCTCTCAGGGGCTTAACTAGTCACAGCAGAGGCTGCGACAGACAGCGAGTAGATTCAGCAACATATTTGTCTTGATGAAAAAGGAGTTCCACATTTACTCTGACTAGTCGAATCGAGCAGACTCTTGAGACGAGAAAATCGCGTTACTTCGCCGTAGACTGGCAGTAATGAAGGTTTCAAAGCAGGGTACACTGCAGTCGGGCGCCAACCAAGTTTCAGGCTACCTAACATTGCAGCTCTTCTGTGTCTAAGCCAACTACATCTCGTTCGAGAGAAAAGTACAATATTTACTCAAATTATGTGGAATTCGTGGGAAAGTTGCTGTCCAGATACGAGAAATATTCGAACGAAAAAGGTAGTGAACTGAAAACACCTCACTTCGAATGAATTTCCACGATGGATTCTGACTATCTAACCATGATTGCGAGTACTGGCCTTGTTCGCTATAAAACACTATCCAATGGTTCGCTGATGCACCTGGATTGATGAGGTTTTGGAGTTAAAATTTTTGCAGCTTGTTCCTCATGCTTCACTCACCTGACCAGCACTGTGTACACAAACTCATCGGACTAGTTCCGCACCAACATACTCCACTTACGTTATCTAATTCTTATCTCTACATCACGCATTCTGTGAGGATAGACTTCAAGCAAGGTGGGCCCAAACTAATGACTACATCTGTACTACACCCGCTCTTGGTCCTGCAAACCATGCTATCATGTACAATATTGCATTATGCTGATCATGCTCAACCATCGCAATGAGGCTGGACCTTACCGTGGTGCGGTGGTTTGCGTGCCTCAGAGATCCATTGAGCTATGCTGGGTGGTGTTTTTTTGCACCTTTAGAGCCACTCATACCAGATTGGTCAATGGTTAGAGGCCAGACAAACTCAGCCTCCTGGTAGTCCAGGTTGGGGGTTGGAATGGGGGTGGCTCCTCATTTCATAAAACGGGCTCTGTAGTCCAGTGCCAAAACCCGCTGCCTTGCGGTAAGGTTTTTTGAACTAAAGGCTTTGGTTAAGAACCCTAATCGTTCTCCTGTCTAGGCCTGGGCAACCTGACAGTATTCTGCCCACGCAATACAATGAACCTTTCCTACAACAGTTTCTTGATGCTCTGGCCGTCGCAGAGGATAATAAACGGCGCCCTATCTGCTGCATCGAGCAGGGTGGATAGGGGTTTGGATGCTACTGCTCAGGCCTTCCCGTCTTCTTATACCCCTTCTTGCGCTTCTGCATCCTTATTGACCCGCTCCAACTTTACTTATATCCCCCCATTTTCAATCCCCCAATTCTTGGCCCTTCCCCAGCTTACTTCAATAGTCGCTTGTCTTCTAATTTCAAATCACACACAATCGCAGGGCTTCGCTCCAATCCAGTCGACAAGTCCATGTTCAACCAAGCGGACAACGTCAGTTCATCCGTTTCCCTTTGTAGTCCTCGTGTCTCGCTAAGATTGGCATGCCTCAACGTGCGCACTTGGCTGCAGATTGGCCAACAGGCAGCACTTGCCCGCACACTAGAGACCCTATCGATCGATATTTGCTGTTTATCAGAAACCCGCCTGCAAGATTCGAGCTCCGTGCTTACCCTGAGATCCCCCACATGCGACACTGGCGGCACATTCTCATTGCGCCTGTCTGGCGATGATGCAGCTTCAAATGCCGGTCAAGCTGGCGTCGGCATTGTTTTGAGTCCCCGGGCTGAAGCTGCCCTGATCGATTGGATCCCAGTAAACAGTAGGATGTGCGCCGTTAGATTAGCTGGTTCGTTCCGTGCTTCGAAGTCGCGCGGGAACAAACGGTGCCTGTTTGTCATTGCGGCCTACGCCCCTACAAACTGTAGCACTGATTCGGTAAAAGATGCTTTCGATCAGCAACTTCACGAGCTCCTTCGTTACAGAAGAAGCACGGATACTGTGGTGCTGGCTGGCGATCTAAACGCCCAAGTCGGAAAATTGTCCTCTGATGAGCTTCATCTGGGCGGCCAACATGGTGTAGGCTCCCGTAATGATAATGGTGAGCGATTGCTCCAGCTGTGTGCAGATGCTCGCCTGTTTCTCGCGAGCACTAACTTTCGACACAGCACCCGCAGAAGCGTGACTTGGCGGCCACCAGCCTGGGGCCAGTCATGGATGCAAATCGATCATATCGCGATCAGTTACCGCTGGAGAGGCTGTGTCCAAAACTGTCGCTCGATTTGGAGCACGAGCGTGGACTCTGACCACGCACTTGTCTGTGCCGACTTCCTGATGCGTTTCGGTGGACGTCCGCGACGTCGATGTGAACGGATTGACACTAGCCAGCTGGCGAAGCCAGATGTTCTGAATGTGTACCAAGATGCGCTGACATCTGAGCTGAGTAAGCGCCCACTAAACACCGTTGAAGATCACTGGTCGCATACTCGTCAAGCGTTGCTATTAGCAGGCATGTCTTCATATGGCAAAACAAATTGCAAAACCGGACATTGGGTCTCTACACAGTCTCTGGAACTTATGGATGCTCGCCGACGTATTCCGGCTGGAAGCGAATACAATGAAGCTCGCAAAAATCTCAGGGCGAAACTACGTGCTAGCCTAAAGAAGGACCGCGAAATCTGGTGGTCTCATCGTGCCTCTGAGATGGAAACAGCCGCTGCCATTGGTAATCATCGTAAGTTATACCGTCTGATACGGGCAACAGGCAGCAGAAGATCTGGAGTTAGCGAGACCATACGCGACGAGAGTGGGCAGATGATCCACAGCCTGTCAAAACGCTTGGAGCGTTGGGCTGAACACTTTGCTATGCAATTTAACCAACCTGAGTTATCGCTTTCTTCGGGTATTGAGCGCCCTTCTCCTTGGATCCGCCCTCACGCGCAGAAGTCGAACGTGAGATCAGGCTGTTGAAATTGCATAAGGCCGCAGGAGCAAATACAATTCCTCCAGCCCTCTTCAAATTCAG